TTATGGTTCTGAGAAACTGTGTAAAGAAAAGAGACCTTGAAGGCTGTGTTCAGGTGTTTAGACAATGGCATGGCTTCCTAAGAACAGAGCACCAACAGTACATAGAACAAAGTAAGAACTCTATCAGTGTCCTGCAAGCGAAAGTTGAGTCACCTGAAAAAGAGAGAGATGAGTTGCTGGACCATGTTAAGGCAAAAAAGAAAGTGAACCCCTCCTATGAGGAGTAGCAGTCCCTTTCCAATGACAGTGAAAGCAGTTCTGATCAAGCTGGTCTTGATCTGACTGTTAAAGAAACAGCTTCAGAAGTGGTCAAAGGAGAAAAGTCAAAGACAGATGAAGCAACTGAGGATGTGATGAGCAGTAAAAGTATTGCTCAAATAACTGATGGTGAGCCTTCACAAGCTGAGGTGGCCCAGCTGCTCAGCACTGCTTTCTTCCAGCATGCGTCCCATGGAACAGGGAGTCAGCAAAGCCAAAGGACATTTGAGAATGCATGCCACTATTGCAGTGAAATGGGCCTTTGTAGATGCAAAAAGAAGTTTAAGGAAAGAGTATAAAGCCAGTTTAGGGAAAAACTAGTCCAACTCAGTGGGTGGGGCTGTCATCCCCAAAGTGGCAGGTAAACTGTTAAAACTAATCCAGAAAGCTAATTGGTCTTCTGCTATTCCCACAGAAGAGGATCAAATGATATAACTTATAAATAAATAATATAGCTTCTGTGCATATTTATAGCCAATTATACATGAGCAGGACAATAGATGGTAGGTAAGAACTACTGTGAGTCATATTAAACCAGCTATTCAGTGACTTTATCCATGGTTAAAAGTGCAGCTGTTTGAGGCTGCTGCATTGGGTTTTGTGTAACCTGGAGGTGCCTTTAATGGTTTCATGAATTTATGACTGCATATCCTCACATGCAGGACCATGGTGACTATTGGTTTAGCTCATGTAGGAGTGATTACTGCCAGTGAAGTGGCATATGGCTTTGCTCTTACAGTTTCTAAAGTTTTATTATTTGCCTTCAAAAGAGGATTTCTACTCCTTATCATTAATGATGGCAGTAATGTCTGATTCTCAAGATGGGCTTGTTCAATAATGTTAATCAGTTAAATGTTACAAATTGGTCAAGAGAAGCAGCCGTTAATGTTTGTGGTAGACTCATGATGAGCAAACAACCTTATCTGTTGAGACTACGTTCAGAAATAACTAAAATCTGTTACAGATGGTTTGGTTTTGTTTGAATATAGATTCAAAGGATAGCATAAGCAAACTTGGTTACTGACTTTACAGTGGAGGATTAGGGCTTACTCATCTTAAAACTGAAAAGTGTATGTTAATGAAGAAGGTTTCGACAAGCATAACATTAGCTCATAGTTTAGATCTGACAATAGTACTAGCCTCACCATAGCTAGTCTGGTTCAGATCTGTAAACAGATAAAGATTAGTTAGCACCACTGTTGGTCTGATATCAGAACAAAAGGGAAATAACATCTAACAATAGCAGGGGGACATTTGGCTTCATAATGAAATGAAGAATGATGTGCATTAACTGAAACTCATAGATTTTTATTTTTTTTTAAATCAGTTTCATTTTTAAGTTATGTAATAATACATAGCATGTGTGAGCTAAGATGAATAACAGAGACTAACTGGGGTAGTTGGTATTTTAAGTTTTTTTGCACAGGTAAGTTTTAATTCAAGAGTTTTGGGAATCTCCATGAAGGGAGAATATTAATTCTGGTAAAACAGAAATTGAAATAAAATTATGTATTGAGCCAGTCAGGAAGTACATATAAGATTCATTCTTATATGTGGAACTTTTTACTGAAGGATACACAAAGAGAAAAATCTGGATTAACCAGAATGCACACGCATCTTCTTTTTGGTCAGATCACTAATCCCTAATTATAATGGTGGTGAATGATTGGAACCATAAGAGTGATTCTGGTAGTGTAAAGTAGTTGCACAGCTACACTAGAATATTCTAATTTGAATTAGTCACTAATGGCTCAGCACATAGTCTCAAAGACTGTAAAATGCAGGGTGGATGTGTTTTCACCACATGCAATGACAAAGTTTCAGGATTTAGTCCATGATTTGGCTGCATTTAGCATGATCTGAAGGTTCTCTACAGCTGTTCAGGGTGATGCATTTCTTGTATTATGTCAGAGTGTGAAATTCCATTATGTTTGGAAATTGTTAGTAAATAATAACAATTTTATTACAAGGCTTGAAGGAAATATCTCTTGATTAATTTTTGCCATTCCTAACTGTGAGCAGTTTGGCAGAACCCCCAAAGAGATGGGGGGGGGGGCACACCACTGTGAGGTGTGACTGAACCTTTAAGTCAAGGTGGATACAATTTGGCCAGTACAAAAATTCTGGACATACTTCACACTGTAAAAAGTGCTACTTTTAAAAATAGGGACATGGGTGACTCTGAGAGGAGAGCTTTGAGCAGGACTGGCGACAACAGGTCCCAGGGGTCAAACTGAAAGTAAAGCCGACCTTCCCCCTTTATATGACTAGCGTCCCTCACTCCTCTTAGAGGTATAGGATACAAATTCAGGGACAGATGTAGCCTTTTACAGTGTCTGAAGAAAAGATTGATCATTTAATTCATCTGTATTATTGTCGTCAGATACTGCTGTTGCTGTTTGGTTGTTTGTGTTCTTCCAGGAAACCCAAGGCAGTGTGAGAGGAACTCAGGATGCGAAAATGAGATGAAACAAGGATACTGCTGGTTTCGTTAAAGGCCCTTTTGGCCAGACGTGACTTGACCAAGAAACATCACTGGAGTGATGGCATCTGGTGTCCTGCATTCATCCTGTTGTCCTCAAGATATTAAGGACTAAAATGTTATAAGAAGTAGTTAAGATCACAAAGCAGAGGTGTCACTTATTGTATGTGCTATGTTAAGTTCACCTGTCCAAAGTTGACAGAAGTATCATATTCCAGATGCTATTCAACTTAACATGGTAGACTTTGTTTTTAGAACAAAGTGTTTTGGATTCCTTATCCAATTAGTGTGTGTTGATATAGCATGGAGAGGACATGCAATTTCTGAAGATGATACAGGTGTTCTGCTATACAATGATTCCACAATGAATGTTAGCACATTTGAAATTTTGTACCCTCGACATATGTCACCATTTTCGGAGGATCATCCTAAAACATTGTGTGGGTTTTGCAGTAGTACCACTATTTTTTATGGGTAATAGCAATACCCATAAAAATGAAACGTCATCATAGCAGAAGTAATAAAGGGCTGTATCTATGATATGATCTGGTTAGGTAAACTGCTGATTAGTAAATCAGTTCTGTAGGAAGCTCTTTGGGACAGCCACTAGAAAACATCCTGCTATGTTTAATGAGAACCAATGTAGTTGAAAATGCCAACAAAAGTGTGGCAGTTTCCATTTGGAAATTTGCTTGCATGTATGTTCTTGGCATATTGTAACACAAGATTAGCTTGTGAATGATATTGCTTAAGCTTTAATCTCATATTCACTACTTTGCCGTCACACAGAATTATAATACTGCAAAACAAAGCTGGTATGGATTACAAACAATGGCAAGAATTAGATAACTTATGTTGGTCAAAGTCCTTTTGAGGCCTATAATGTTCTGCCATGATTTGTGTCTTTGCTTTGTTAATCTAATGTTTGATATGCTGTTGCAGTATCTGTGCCTCCAGAAGTGTAAAGCCAATGCATGTACGTATAGATGCAGAAAATATATTATAGACTATTTCTGTTCAATGGCAAGCAATTCCATCTGATGCAGTTATTTTAATTCTAAATGGAAGTGTGCAGTCATGTCATTAAGCATACTCCAATAGTCAAATTCATTACAGTGAATGCTTCAGATGCATTGGGGGGTTGTTGGATGTTGTTTTAATTTGTTATATTTTCATTATTTGAAACTAAGGCAGATATGCTGAGCACTCTTTTTTTAATAAAACCACTATTTCTGCAAACTCCGGTCTCCTGAATCTCTTCCATGGCAAGATCAAAGATTTTCTACAGTACACAAACAGGACAGTTAAGTTTTAAATACTCTGTTCAAGGACAAATGACACTGCTATCAAAATATGAGTCCTGAATACATTTATGGTTTATGTTTATGTTCATTTTCTTTGTTTTTAATAATCTCTAGAACTACAACTACTATTAATAATAATACTAATAAAAATGATGATAAGACATTTTATATTTTTACTTTATATTTTCAAATGGAAAAAAAAAATACTGCTGTCTCCACAAAAAAATAAAAGAAAAAGGAAATTATGAAAGCAAAGTGTGAACGGGGCTTTTTCCAATTTACATTTATTGTTATTGTCACGCTTCCTGGTTCTCAGTCGGACACTCGTACCATCAAGGACGCCATTTCCCAGAATCCCTCTGTCAGTCATAAGACTTCTTCAACCAATCACAAACCACTTAGCAGATTACAGTCACCTGAATTCTAATCACCACCACCTGTTGAACCATATATACTAGTCTGTTTGGTCCATGTCTTTGCGAAGTATTGCCCTTGCTTAGTCAGTGCATACCAAGCTGTTTGTTTTTCTGATTGCTGTTCCGTGTTTGACCTCACTTTGTTTATTCCTGTTGACGATTCTCGCTCCTGTTTTGGCTTCGTTGTTTTTGTGTATGTGTTTTCTCTGGTTATGACCCTCGCCTGTTTTTTTGACTCCGCTTTTGCCTACTCCTATGTATTTTGTCTTGCTATTCTGGTTATTGACCTGGTCTGGTGTTAACCCTGTTTATTTCCATTTAAATACATATTCCAGGTTCATTTTTATCCATGAGTCTGATCTGCAAACCCAGCATTACAGCTGTTGTTGTTGTTATTATATATTTTATAATAATAATAATAATAATAATAATAATAATAATAATGTGTGTGTGTATATATATATATATATATATATATATATATATATATATATATATATATATATTATTAGTTGTTATTAGTATTATTATTGATCTTACCACAGTGTCTCCAGTTTACAGAGAGGATTCTCCAGTACAGCAGAGAGCAGCTTCACTCCTGAATCTCCTAGTTTATTCTCAGAAAGATCCAGCACTCTCAGGTGTGAGAGGTTTGATTTCAGAGCTGAAGTCAGAGCAGCACAGCCTTCATCTGTGATACTACAAACCCTCAACCTGCAGAAAGAACAATGACACACACTCTCTCTCACTCCCTCAGATTAAAACACATCAGTTCTGTAGGAACATCCTCAAGAAGGTGTGACTACAGTCATTAAATACAGTGTTTTACAATAAAATAGTATGGTAAAAAAAATTGGTGAGTAGTCAAGATTTATTTATATAGCGCTTTTTACAACATATAGCACTTTGTCACAAAGCAGCTTTACAGAAAAACCCAGGTCCAAGCCCCTATGAGCAATGCCAATGGCGACAATGGCAAGGAAAAACTCCTTAAGAGCAAGAGGAAGAAACCTTGGGAGGAACTAAGACTCAAAACGGGAACCTGATCCTCCCCTGGTCAACACTGGATAGCAAACAGTGTTAGTATAAAATATTAAAATAAAGAAACGGGGGAAAACAGGTGAAGCAATGGTTATAGTTTAATAGTTAGAGTCTGTGCTGCAGCAGCAGCAGCAGCAGCATCAGAACGGTCAGTTCATGCAGGTGTGGTTTGCACAGCATTGTACAGTGAGAAGCTCCATGGTGGTCAAACCAGTCCAGAAGGCTGGTGAGCAGTGGGCACCTGACCAAGGCAGAAGAAGCAACAGCATCAGACCACACAGGACAGGCAGTTGTTCAACTCGGCAAAGAAAAAAACACAGAGTTAGTTCTGTAAAGAGTGACTGATCACAGATTACAGTATTAACAGAAAGCAGTACAGACTTTGGCAGGTCTAGTTATTACAGGCTAACTAAAGGTAGAGCCAGAAGGCAACAGAGACATGAGAGCTCCCTGAGATGCCAGCGTCTCTCCGCTCCACTGTCAGCAAACCTGAGTGAATGTGTGAGAGCAACGGGATGACAGCACCAACACTCCCCATTTACCATAATACTCAATGTCCATGAATCCCCAGATCTGCACCTTTAATCTAATGGGGAAAACTAATTACCAAAGGCTTGACTAAACAAGTAAGTTTTTAGCCTAGACTTAAAAACCGAGGCTGTGTCCTGACTGGAAGATTATTCCAAAGTTGGGAGGCTTTGTATGAGAAGTTTCTCCCCCCTGATGAAACTTTATTAATTCTAGGTACTAATAGTGTGCAACACCTTGTGATCTAAGTAGGTATGATGGTTCATAGTAAGATAGAAGTTCACTCAGTACTGAGGGGCGAGTCCGTTTAGAGCTTTAAATGTCAGTGAAAGAATTTTGTAATCAATGCAAAATTTAACTGGCAACCAGTGCAGGTTTGATAAAACTATGCTGATATGGTCAAACTTTCTGGTTCATGTGCGATCCTGGCTACAGCATTCTGGACTAGCTGAAGCTTGTTAAGGCTTTTGCTGGAACATCCAGACAGCAGGGCATTACAGAAATCTAGCCTTGAGGTAATAAATGCATGAACTAGGTTTTCTGCGTCCTGTAGAGACAATGCAATTTAGCAATATTGCAGAGATGCAGGAAGGCTATTCTAGTAATATTTGTTATATGTATGTGCATCAAAGGACAGATCAGGATCTGTTGTGGCACCAAGATTTTTTACAGATGTACATGATGCAACTGAGAAACTATTAAATTTAAACATTAAATTTGACAGTTTGTTTCTGATAGCTTTTGGCCCAAAAAGAAAAAAATATTTTATATCTTTTATACAGTTCTCAATCTTGTTAAGTTGAAGTTTATCATCTGGTTTGGTTGATATATATAATTGTGTTTCATCGGCATAGCAGTGTAAATTGATGTCATGTTTACTGATAATGGTACCCAGTGGTAGCATATATTATGTGAATAATATAGGTCCTAAAACAGAGCCTTGTGCAACACCATACTTTACTTTTGCAAGAACAAATGATTCACTGTTTACTTTTACAAACTGATAGTGATCAGTCAGGTAAGATTCAAACCAGGAAAGAGCTACTCCTGTTACTCCTACAAGGTTTTCTAGTCTGTCTATAAAGATAGAGTAGTCTATCATATCAAATGCCGCACTAAGATCAAGGAGGACTAGCAAAGATGCATTTCCTTAGTTAGAGAATAATAAGAGATTGTTTACAATTTTCACTAGTGCTGTCTCTGTACTATGATGTGGCCTAAACCCAGACTGAAATTTTCCATGTATATGATTTCTATGCAAATAGGAACTTAATTTGTTTTGCCACAACTATTTCCAAGACCTTTGATATAAAGGGAAGATTTGAGATGGATAGGAGAGAGTTCCAAGTTAAGAAACACTAGCCACTGATGAATCTTTCATATGAGAACTGAACTTAAATGGAAAAAACTTAAGTGAAAAAAACAGGTCAAGGCTGTCCTCATGTAGTGTATAATCAATGCTCGTGTTTCATTTTAATAGCCTAAATTTAACATTGAAAGTATTGAGCAGTAAGAGCCAGAAAAATATCTTTTATGACTGCTCACTTTTCTTTAGAGTTCATTTTACAGTTATATTTGGGTCATTTTTAATTCATTTATAACTAAATAAGATCAGGATTTGCATTTGAAATATGGGACAGACATAAATACACCAGATTTGATGATATTGTTCTACTGTGTGGAAGTATAAATAAAGTAAAATCTTTCTATGAGTAGGTGTGGCCAAACTTTTGACTGCTATTCTCTAACAACAGATACAAATAAAGAAATCTTTATATAATTAACTTGAAAATGAACTGACAGTGAAAAAGCATTGTTTTAGTCATCTGTTACAGTTCCAATATGGCAAAGAAAAACTCAAAAATATTTATCATCCTCAGGATATTGGTTATGAGCCTATAGACCCTAATAGAGATCAGAGAACATCAACAAGAACATGTTTTACTGAAGACAAGGTCATGTTTGACTCTCAGAGAGATGATCTTACCACAGTGTCTCCAGTTTACAGAGAGGATTCTCCAGTACAGCAGAGAGCAGCTTCACTCCTGAATCTTCTAGTTTATTATAAGACAGATTCAGCTCTCTCATATGTGAGGGGTTTGATTTCAGAGCTGAAGTCAGAGCAGCACAGCCTTCATCTGTGATATTACAATTATACAACCTGCAGAAAGAACAATGACACACACATCACTCTCTCAGTTCAGAAAACACAGATCAGTTCAGCAGCAACTTCATCAACAAGGTGTGACTTCAGTCATAAAGCACAGCTTTATTAATAGATCTTTAACAGTAATATTATGATACAAGTTACAAACCTAAAAATTACACACTTATCTTCCAGTTATTAATAAATAAAAAAAGGAATGATGAAAATTGTCAACGACATGTGGTGTGGTTTGAGCTAATTTCTGGGCATTCTATCAGATCCATGCTTTATAATAGAGTAACAGTATTTTGTTGACAGGTATCACAAAAGGAACATGTGATCAGTCCTGATTCTGTGTGATCTCAGTATATTTACCTCTTACTGTCTGTAGGTGGAGCTACATGTAAAAGTAATAGAACAATCATGAGTGATTATAATGCAGTAATTTAGTCATGATTTCAGTGAAGTTACTCACATTATTTTGAAGAACTAATATTACACCTCCAACATCAGTATCACTACAATTACAGTGTGACACAATGTCTGTACATCACATTGTCCCTGACCATTTAAATATAAAATAGACAGATTTGATGTTTTTTATTGTTCTACAGTGTGGAAGAAAAAGTAAAGTAATATATTTCTATGATTTAGTGTGTCCAAATCTTTTATGGGTACTCTCTAACAACAAGTACAAAGAAACTAATCTTTACAAAATAGATTTAAAACTGAGATCATGATAATAAAAATGAATTTAATCATCTGTTACAGTTCCAATGTGGAAAAGAAAAACACAGAAATCCAAATATGATTATAATAAATTAAAACACAACAAATAGCATGATGAGAGAATGAAAAGTCTTTGAAGAACTGAAACAAAAATCCTCATGACACTGATTCTGAACATTCAGATTCAAAAAGAGATCAGAGTACATCAACAGACATTTGTGGACCAGATCATGTCTGACCTCAGAGAGATGATCTTACCCCAGAGTCTCCAGGTTACAGAGAGGATTCTCCAGTACAGCAGACAGCAGCTTCACTCCTGAATCTCTTAGATGATTATAAGACAAATGCAGCTCTCTCAGGTGTGAGAGGTTTGATTTCAGAGCTGAGGTCAGAGCAGAGCACCCTGCATCTGTGATATTACAACCTGACAACCTGCAGAGAGAACAATGACACACTGTTCAATACATGCACTTTCAATACATGCAGCATACATGTTCTTTACAATAAAACAGGAAATAAAAAAGAGCACAAGAATAAAATATTAATCAAGCGTGTTGTGTGTGGAAAGCAGTTTCTGTTTATGTTGTGTTTTTACACAATACAAACATCTGTATTGTTTACCGCTTAAATAAACTGTATGTAGATGTCATGAGATCAATAATAAAAAACTGACTTTTAGGTTAACTCCTAGTTAATAAATATTGAGTTACCATGTGTTTCACTTTATAATACTGTTCCTGATCATCATTAACACCTAGTTCATTAATAGTGAGTTACCATGCGTTTCACTTTATAATACTGTTCCCGATCATGATTAACTCCTAGTTAATAAATAGTGAGCTACCATGTATTTCACTTTATATTGTTCCTGATCATCAATAATTCCTAGTTTATTAATAATGAGTTATCATTGTTTCATTTTATATTGTTCCTGATTATCATTAGCTCCTAATGAAAAACAGCAACACCTCATTCATTATTCGATTGACAGTAATTACATGCCCTCAAGAGGACAATAAAGGAGAACTACTGTTCAGAAGAAACACATTGGAACACACGCTCCTGCAGAAAAAAATGGTGTTCTCTTTTCTAAACATGAGAGTTAAGCAGACTGGTCTACTAATACTGAAATATTTAGCAGTTGTCCCATTTGTAGGCTGATGTGCAAATTGGTTCACACTGCCAAATATGAAGATGTACATTAGCCTTTTAAGGTTTCTGATCAGAACAAACACATGAGGGGCACCAGTCAGTACAGTGTGGTGTGATGCCCCAGGCTTCTCTGAGCATACCTGTTTCTGTGAATAGAAATGGAGGATATAATTAAATTTGTATTGTAGAGACTGCACACTGTGTAGTGTATTTCACTACTGTTGGAAGTATTGGAATACACTACATCAGTTAATAGTTTAGCAGCAACCTTGTCAGACTCAGGTATTGAGCAATTAATGTAGAATTAATTGGTAATTTATGAGTAGTTATTCTAAGAAACCATAGTTACTAAGAAATTCTCTATGAGACTTAGTAGTTATTGTTTAGTTCATAGTGAACTACCCTAATCATTAGTTCACTATTACCTACTGAATAGTTAACTAGTAGTTCTTGGTAGTTAAGAGTAGTTACTTAAGCATTAATGCAGAACTACTCATTCGTTCCTGCTTAGCTCCTGATTAGTTACTTATTAACTAAGAAACAGTATTGTAAAGTGTTACCTTTAGACTAGCTCTTTGCGACGTATTACTTTCACAGAGCTACTGAGTGTATATTCTGGTTTGTTTGTATTTTGGTATTGATTATTCTTCCGTATTTTTGACTTTGCCTTATGCCTGATCCTCTTTGGACTTGTTTGCCTAGTGTCATGTTGTGCCTTCTGTCTGTTTTGGATTTGGCCTATGCCTGTTTTTTGACGACAACACTGGATCACTAGTTAACTAGTAAAGCTTCTTTTTTATACGCACGCGTCTGGCTCATTCTGACTCGTTACAGAATACCTTGCCAGCGATGCAGACGGCTTCAGGATTGTAGAACAAGGCCAGTTGTTAGGCCGTCATTGGTAAGTGCTAGCAGGGGTTACTAAATCTCTCAAGTTGTTAGCTCAACATCAGTCAGAGCAACAGGCTCAGCTGGTACAGCTTGTGGCAAGCCTTAAAGGACTAGCCAGAACATTTGGTGCCAACCCCTGGAAAGCACGTGGAGAATACTCCATGTGCTAGTGTAGTGAGTGTTCCCACAAAGGGCTTGGTTTCTAGGTCTTTTCTGCTACTGTCATCAGGTTTCTCTTGTGGTCTCAGCCCTTTTAGATTCTGGTGCCAAGGGAAACTTCATCCATTTACTGTCTCATGGAACAACTTCAGATTCCTTGAAGCCTCCGCTGAGAACTGCTGCATTGGATGGAGGTCCCGTTGGAGCTGGAACCATCTCTTCTAAAATAAAACCAGTGAAATTGATGACAAGTGCACTACACAGTGAACTTATTTCCTTTCTGATCCTCGATTCTTCTGAATTTCAGATCATTTTATGCTTGCCTTGCCTAGATAAACACAACCCTACTATTTCTTGGTCAGAACATGAAGTGTTAACATGGTCAGAATTTTGCCATCAATCTTGTATTACACCACCATCATTACTACTGAACTGCCTCCTTATCACTCTCATGATTTTGCCTTGTGTGTGTGTGAAAAATGTGAATTTTATCTTCAGTCTGTCACATTTCTAGGGTATATCATCAGTTCCAGTGATGTGGTTATGGATGGTCAGAAGGTAGACGCAATTGTCAGCTGGTCCACACCAACCTCAGAAAGATAATTTGGTCAGAGCAAGAAGAGAGGGCTTTTCAAATTCTGAAAGAAACATTCACTATGCTCCTGCTCTGAAGCAGGTAAGCTGGTATCGGGGCTATTCTTTGTCAACATTCCAGCAATCCCCAAGAACTCCAGTAGCCTTCTACTCACACAAACTCATACCTACGGAGAGGAACTAGGGCATTGGTGATTGAGAACTTTTAGCTGTTAAACAAGCATTAGAGGAGTGGAGACACTGGTTAGAGGGAGCTTATCATGCCTTTCTAGTATTGACTGACCACAAAAATCTTGAATATTTACACAATGCCAAACGTTTGAACGCTTGTCAGGTGCCATCCGGGATCGCGTAACACTAAAGCGGACGCTTTATCTAGAATGCACAAAGAAAAGACAGATAATGTAGATGAGTCCAACTCCAAACCCATTCTTCCACCAAATGTTACTGTATCTTCGATTTGATGGAGGATCAATGACGAGATTGAGAAAGCATTAGAAGGTACTTTAATACCTAGTCAGTGCACTCCAGGAAAAATCGATGTCCCCAGTCAGTACTGAGATAGACTTATCACATGGGCCCATTCGTCCATCACAACAGGTCATCCAGGAGAGACATGTACTCAACAATTGCTGTCTAATCAGTACTGGTGGGAATCTATGTACAGGGATATTCATTCTTTCATAGCTTCTTGTTCTATCTGTAAAACTCCCAAGACACTCCCAGCTGGTAAACTTGTTCCTTTACCCGTGCCTGCCAGACCTTGGTCTCATATAGCTTTGGACTTTGTTACTGATCTGCCAGAGTCACAAGGGTTCACAACTGTACTTACAGTAGTCGACAGATTTTCACATAGCGTTAGGTTTATTCCATTCATGACTAGTTAAAAAGTGGCTAGTTTAAAACCCAGGCTTTTAGACTATCTCCTTGCGAGGTATTGCTTCTTTCACAGACCTACTGAGCATTTATTCTGGTTTGTTTGTATTTTGGTATCGATTATTCTTCCATGTTATTAACTGCGCCTTATGCCTGATCCCCTTTGGATTTGCTTGCCTAGTAGTATGTTTGCTTTTCTGTGCCTCCTGTCTCTTTTGGATTTGATCTAGGCCTGTTTTTTGACGACGATCCTGGATCACGATTTAACTAGTAAAGTTTCTTTCTTCTTTTTTATCCACACGCGTCCGGCTCATTCTGACTCGTTATACCTTTGTGTGTTAGAAATAAAGCAGGTTTTATAAGCTGGAGGAGGACAGTGAGTGAAATTAAAAGATTCACAAACTAGTAGTCAGGATTATCTGTATTTATCTGGGGCACCAAGTCAGTATATAATGGCAGAAATTACTCCTTAAAGCAGTCTGTTCTTCATATACAGTAAATCTGCACAACAGTGTCAATGCAGGAAAACAGCTGCTGCAGATTCAGGAGTCATCCTAATACATCGAGATGATACACTTTTACAGTTGAAGGTGAATGTAAGTTAACAAGTGACTGTGAGAGAACAGATAAAACATTTAGAGCACAGTGAAACTTATGATGTGTGATGGTTTGTAGACTGTCCTGAGTGTGATGCTCCTTTTCTGCTAAAATGCTGCTTAGAAAGGGAGAGGCGCCTTTAAAGGCAGTGACACGTGACAAATTTTAACATGTTTCTTGCATCCTAAATGACAACAAATCTAATCTAAAATGTAATCTAATGTAGTCTACGATGTAATGTTATCTAATCTTTAATGGCTAGAGTTAAATACATACTATGTTATTATATGCAGGGATGGGATAGTAGCTAAGTATTGTGCTACTTTTTATAGTTAGCTACAACTTTTGTAGCTAAAAGCTGTAGCTGCTACAGTTTTATTAAATGTAGCTAATAGCTATTGCGCCTACAAATTTTTGTGTAGCTATAGCGATAATTTGTTTGGTTTGTATTCGGTTATTTTTTTTTATTTTTGTTAGGAAAAACCTGGAATGATTGACTTTACTTAGTCTAAATTTTTGTTGGATATCACGCGTTATCAGTTGGGCTTCTTTGGTGTGTCAGGTGGAGATACACAAACGTTCTGACAGTTGCGCTTCGAAAGTAGCTAGATAGTAATGCACTACTTCTCAAAAAGTAGCTAAAAAGTAGCCACTACTTTTTCGGGAAAAGTAGCTACAAAGCTAACTACTAATTTTTCAGTAGCTATCCCAACCCTGATTATGTGTAGAATAATAGAGTAAAATAACATACTGTACCCGACTCTCTCTTAAATACCAGTCACATTCTGAAATATATATATATATATATATATATATATATATATATATATATATATATATATATATGTATGATATCAGGATGCTCTGCTATCTAAATATAGAGCGTTTCTTTGAGGATTTTCAAACTTTTACTTTTTAAAAAATGTTCTGTTTGTAATTATTTTAGTTAATTTATCTTATTTCAGTTTTGTTATGTTTCTTATTATTTTCTTCTACTTTATTTCAAAACCTATTTGACCTTTTTTTTGCTTTATTGTCTATTATTTGTTTTTCATTTGTTTTTTATTTATTTGCTGTTATACAAGACTATTTCTCAATCTGTTATCTATTTGTTGCTTACTGAAAATTAGGACTCCTCTCAGTGTAAACCTGAACTTAAGGAATACAATGTTGATGATGATCATTTCACAATTGTGCTGCTCTGTGCCAGATTAGCACCGGCACTGCTTATAAACAAATATATAAACACCTGAAACATCCAATCTCACCACTTGGTGACTTTGCCATTTTTACAATTTTTAATGATTACAAAATATGATCCTAATATTTAAATAAGTATGTAATGTGTTTTGACATAGTTCATTAACAAACAAGTGTTACCAGAGAATAAATCTTTCTGAGGACTAGGACGTGTGAAAGAAAGATGATCTTACCTCAGTGTCTCCAGTTTACAGAGAGGATTCTCCAGTCCAGCAGAGAGCAGCTTCACTCCTGAATCTCCTAGTTTATTATAAGCCAGATTCAGCTCTCTCAGACTGGAGGATTCTGAGCTCAGCACTGAGGTCAGAGCTGCACAGCTTTTCTTTGTCAGATTGCAACTTGAAAGACTGAATAAAATAACAAAACACAAAATTCTAACATTAATTTGACTGATATAACTCCAATATAACTTACTCATGCTGCTAAAGAGGCAAATACAGGCAAATAATAAAATGAATAAATATACAGATATATGAAGGCAATTGGATTTTGTGTATTTACATTTACATTTATTTTTAATTCTGTAATGAAGCAGTGTTACATTCTCAATAAGTTGTCTAATATTGTGCCAGTTTTATTCAATATTACTTACTCAGCTGATCTGGATTCTGCAACTACAGGCAGCAGCTTCAGAAGAACATCATCTGATCTGTTATATTTCTGTAGGACAAATTTATCGAGATCGTCCCCTGATGTCAGCAGTACAAAGACCACAGCTGACCACTGTGAAGAAGAGAGTGTTCTTTGGTTTAGACTGTCAGACTGCAGGTACTGCTGAACTTCCTCAACTAGAGAACGGTCATCCAGTTCGTTCAGACAGTGGAACAGATTGATAGATTTCTCTGCAGAGGGATTCTCACTGATCTTCTTCTTGATGTACTGAACTGTTTCCTCTTGGCTGTGGGAGCTACTTCCTGTCTGTGTCACTAACTCTTGTATGAGAGTCCGATTGGACTCCAGTGAGAGACCCAGAAGAAAGCGAAGGAAAAGATCCAGATGTCCATTCTTACTCTGTAAGGTCTGATCCACAGCACTCTTGTGTACATCTGAGATTGTAATTTCTTTCCTCCTGAAGCTCCTCAGTTTAGAGGACAGACTCTGTTTAAGCACATTCTTCTTCTGGGTCATGAAGGTCAGGTGCACATATAGAGCTGCAAGATGTTCCTGAATGCCCAGATGAACAAAGCAGTACACTTTACTCTGGTGCAGCCCAGATTCCTCTCTGAAGATCTGTGTACACACACCTGAGTACACTGATGCTTCTTTAACGTCGATGCCACACTCTCTCAGATCTTTGACACTTCTGAAGATCTGTGTACACACACCTGAGTACACTGATGCTTCTTTAATGTTGATGCCACACTCTCTTAGATCTTTCACACAGAAGATCAGTTTTCCTTTCATAAGCTGCTGAAAAGCCAGTCGTCCTAGTTTCAGAAGTATTTCTTCATCTGTCTTCTGCTTCTTTACGTACTTTTCTCTCATGATCTTTGTCTGAATGATGAGGAAGTGTGTATACATTTGAGTCAGAGTTTTGGGGGTCTCTCCACTCTCTGCTTCACCCAACATTCTCTCTAGAACAGTGGCTGAAATCCAGCAGAACACAGGAATGTGGCACATGATGTAGAGGCTTCTTGATGTCTTCAGGTGTGTGATGATTCTATCGGTCAGGCTCTGGTCCCTGATTCTCTTCCCGAAGTACTCCTCCTTCTGTGGGTCACTGAACCCTCGTACTTCTGTCAGTCGATCCACACACTCAGAGGGGATCTGATCAGCTGCTGCAGGTCGGGAGGTGATCCAGATGAGAGCAGAGGGAAGCAGATTCCCCTTGATCAGATTGGTTAGCAGCACCTTCACTGAGGATGACTGAGTGACATCATCCAATCTCACAGCGCTCTGAAAATCTAGAGTTAAACGACACTCATCCAAACCATCAAATATGAACAGAACTTTGTGAGATCTGGATATTTCCATTTCTTTAATCTCCTTAAACCGTGTATGAAGAAGATCCACCAAACTTAGTTTTTGGTACTTCATCAAATTCAGTTCTCTGAAAGGAAGTGGAAATATGAAGTGGACATCCTGATTTGCTTTCCCTTCAGTCCAGTCCAGAATGAACTTCTGCACAGAGACTGTTTTTCCAATGCCAGCGACTCCCTTTGTAAGCACAGTTCTGATGGGTTTGTTTTGGTCAGATAAGGGTTTAAAGATGTCATTGCATTTGATTGGTGTGTCCTTTGTTGCTGTTCTCCTGAGTGCTGCCTCGATCTGTCTGACCTCATGTTCATTATTGACCTCTCCACTGTCTCCCTCTGTGATGCAGAGCTCTGTGTAGATCTCACTGAGAAGTGTTGGGGTTTCCTGGTTTGTTATCACCTCATTCAAGCACTGAAACTTCTGTTTCATATTTAACTTGAAGTTTTCTTGGACTTTCATTGCATCAGAATCATTGCCATGTCTGTGAGATGGTGAGACATGTGGTGAGACACAGAACCAGTTATCAGTACAATTTAAAATAAGCTTTTTTTCCCAAACCAAATCACACTTTATGCATGATTGACATATTCTCTACCATGTACATTCTTTTTGCTTTGTTTGTTCTTTATAACCTTAATCAGTGTGTAATTGATTCAGAGGTAACAGGACAAGTTGTGTTTACGACATACTGCATGTCTTTGTATGTTGGTTGTGGTCTTACTCTCTGTCTGTGATGATCTTTTGTTCTTTTCTGTCTCTTGTCCCCTGCAGGACACTGTAGACACACAAATTAGTGCTGTATACTTTCATTAAAGCATCATCTGAACTTCAGTCTTGAATCTTCTAAAACAATACATTTTGACCATAAAATAAATCAGAGAACACAGTCATAACTACAGCTTGACCAACATTTCAGGAGACATCTGCTTATACACTGATCAAGCATAATATTAAGACTACCTCCTTGTTTCTACACTCATTGTCAGCTCCACTTACTATAAAGGTGCACTTTGTAGTTCTACAGTTACAGACTGTAGTCCATCTGTTTCTCTGATACTTTGTTAGCCCCCTTTTACCCTGTTCTTCAGTGGTCAGGACCCCCATGGATCCTCACAGAGCAGGTACTATTTGGGTGGTGGATCATTCTCAGCACTGCAGTGACACTGACGTGGTGGTGGTGTGTTAGTGTGTGTCGTACTGGTCTGAGTGGATCAGACACAGCAGTGCTGCTGGAGTTTTTAAACACCTCAGTGTCACTGCTGGACTGAGAATAGTCCACCAACCAAAAATATCCAGCCAACAGTGTCCTGTGGGCAGCATCCTGTGACCGCTGATGAAGGACCAGAGGATGACCAACACAAACTGTGCAGCAGCAGATGAGCTATCGTCTCTGACGTTACCTCTACAAGGTGGACTGACAAGGTAGGAGTGTCTAATAGAGTAGACGGTGAGTGGACGTAGTGCTTCATAAATATAGAGTTACACTACAGTAATTGCATTATACTGTAATACAGGAAAGTATAGTGGTAAAAAAACTTCACTCAAAACAAAATAACACTACAAACCTTTTAAGTTCTGGGGAATATTCATTTTGAAATGGACGCTGTGACCAATTCATAATACTTGTCTGAGCTTTTCTACTGGAATAGATGAATCAGCTTTTCTGTTCACAGTGTTTCAACTGTGAGGAGCTGTTACCTGTGTCCATTTGAGTGGTGTCCATCTCTGAACATTGGTGGATGACCTATCGATGCATCACTCTTCATAGACACACAGCTGGTTACTGGTCTCTTTATCTGGATTAGACTGTACAAGAAAATATTTACACAGTCCTTATTATTGGCTTCATGTTAAACTAGCCCATCCTAATATTGTAATGATATTAATTTTATTCTCATCACTAGTTTTAAATATGTCTTATTGTTGGTGTACTTGATGGAGTGAAAGGTAAGCCAGTATGAAAATGAAAAAAACGGTATGTTCTTTTAATGATATGAATTTCGGCACACTGTGGATGTCGTGATAAGGCCAGAAACAGTGAATTAAAAACAGCGCCGCCACCAAAACAAACTAAACATGCACATAAATGGCTTAAATAACTCTTATAACCTCAGCAAAAAGGGTGTTTTAGACAAAACTGCACTGCTGAGTGCCGCTTGCAGATGCTTCTGCATTAATCAGCAGGTTGAGAGGATTACTTTAAAAAAGTATTCCATTACAGATTACTGATTATCTGTTGAAAAATGTAACTGTAACATAATCCAAAGGACTACTTTATTAAGGTAATGTAATCTGATTGCATTCTGTCCACAGAAATCCTATGAGTTTAAATAGGCATTAAATTAGGCTTTAACTGGGAGCTGATGGTCTTAGTTATAAATAATGATAATTTACACAAAATAATATTTTGCATACATCATTCGAAAACTACTGGAAAAGAAAACATATAAGTGAAAACAAAATTAACATTGCCACTCATGAGACTTCCTCCCTTTTTGACATTTCAGACTGTTAGTCAAAACTTGGCAGGTTATGAATTTTAAAAGTTTGATTTATAGCCTGTCAAACTGTAGAATTTTATGGCGCAACAAACAAGAATAAAGAGTTTACAGTCGGATTAGATCAGATCAGTCTGCTGCTCAAGTCAAGTCAAGTCAAGAGGCTTTTGTTGTCATTCCATCTGTATACAAGTACACAACGGAGCGAAATTACGTTCCTCCAGGACCAACATGGTGCAACAGGGAACAAAATAAGACAGTACAGACAAAGTGCAATGTGCAGACATACTTGTGCAAATAATAAACTAGAAACAATACACTAAATATGATAAATTAATTAGACATTAGACACAGTATACAGACAAGACACTGCAGTGCTGACACAGCACTCATTTCTAAACATGAGGTAGTGAGGATAAGGTGCAGATATATTTAACATGCTGTGGTATGTGGGTATACACAGTCAGATTATGACATACATGAGCACAGCAGTTACTGAGGTAGAAATATAGAGTACTTAAGTAGAACACAGTATTAACAGCAATGTTCCAGATAGTGCAAGTAGGTTTGAGTGAGAGCATCAAAAGAGGAGAGTGTGTGTGTTTGTGTATATGTGTGTGTGTGTGTGTGTGGGTTTCAGTTCAGGCCTTGTGAGTTTAAAAACCTGATTGTTTGTGGATCAAAGCTGTTGCAGAGTCTGGCAGTGATGGCACGGATGCTCCGGTACCTTCTGCCAGACGGCAGCAGTGAAAAGTCTGTGTGAGGGATGGATGGGGTCGTCCACAATGCTGGTGGCTTTGCGGACGCAGCGTGTGGTGTAGATGTCCATGATGGAGGAGAGAGAGACCCCGATGATCTTCTCAGCTGTCCTCACTATTCACTGTAGGGTCTTGCAGCTGGAGACAGTCCAAACCAGGTGATGATGAAAAAACATGGTGAGGATGGGAGGGGGGAGATGAGCTTTCTTCAGGCTCTGAAGGAAACAGAGGTGCTGCTGGGCTCTCTTGTCTATGGAGTTGGTGTTGATAGACCAGGTGAGGTTCACTGTCATGTGGACACAGAGGAACTTGGTGCTCCTGATGATTTCCACAGCAGAGTCAGTGATGTTCCGTGGGGGGTGGTCACCTCCCACTCTTTGGAAGTCAACATCATCTCCTTAGTTCTGTCCACATTCAGAGATAGGTTGTTGGTTCTGCACCAGTCCGTTAGCTGCTGCACCTCCTCTCTGTACGCTGACTCATCATTCTTGCTGATCAGACCTACCACAGTCATGTCATCAGCAAACTTGATGTGGTTTGAGCTGTACTTTACAGTACAGTTGTGAGCTGAGTGAACAGCAGTGCACTAAGTACACAGCCCTGGGGGGCACTGGTGCTCAGTGTGGTGCTCCAGGAGATGTTATTACCTATCCTGGCTAACTGAGGTCTCTCAGTCAGGAAATCCAGGACCCATTTACGGAGGGAGGTGTTCAGGCCCAGCAGGCTTGGTTTTCCAATCAGCTACTGAGGGATGATGGTGTTGAATGCTGAATTGAAGTCTATGAACAACATTCTGATATAGGTGTCTTTGTTGTCCAGGTGGGTGAGATTGAAGTGGAGTGTGGTGGAGATGACGTCATCTGTTGAGCGGTTGGGGTGATGCGCAAACTGCAGTGGGTCCAGTGAGGGTGGGGGGCTGGTCTTTAGTGTGCATCGTGACAAGCCTCTCAAAGCACTTCATGATGATGGGAGTGAGTGCAATGGGATGGTAGTCATTGAGGCAGGACACTGGTGACTTCTTCGGCACAGGGATGATGATGGTGGAAGCATGTTGGAAAGACTGCAGTGCTCAGAAAGAAGTTGAATATGTCCGTGAGAACATCAGCCAGCTGTTCAGAGCATTCTCTGAGCACTCTGCCCGGTATACTGTCAGATCCTGTAGTTTTTTTTGAGTTGACTCCGTGTAGAGTTCTCTACACATCAGTAGTGGACAGACACAGTACTTGTTCATTTGGAGGAGGTGTGGTCTTCCTTGCTGTCTTGCAGTTCTGTGCTTGCGGCATGGCACGTAGCTGCAGTGGCCACTTTGGGAACAACAAAGCAGTGCTTTTTGCTCTTTTTTTTCACTGTAACCTGACCAAAACTCAAAAATCAAGATTACAACGACCAGCACCAACATCTATCATCGTCAGAGCTTGCTACAGCTGATAAATCAGCCACAATCTCTGCTTTCAGACGGAGTGCGGGAAGATCTGAGCACTTCGAGTGTGGTAAGACTCGAGGTGGGGGCCTGTGTGTTTACATCAACACTGAATGGTGTAAAAATATGGCACTAGTCTCTAGTCACTGCTCACCGCTGGTGGAGTTTGCGATTGTCAGAACCAGTCTCCTAACTCATCACAACACACCCCAACCAGAAGCCATTGATGACTGCAGAGGTACGCATGCTGCTGAGAACCCGTGATAAGGCCTTCAAGTCAGGGGATAAGGCAGGCCTCAGAACAACCAAGCTTTCCTGGGCCATCAGAGAGGCAAAGCTCACCTACGCAAAGAAAATTCATTAACATTTTCAAGATGTAGAATCTTGCGGTGTGGAAATCCAGGTTAAACGCCTGATTCAAATATCTTCAGAGAAATGCTGCAGATTTCAGTCGTGCCAATAAAAATGAAATACTTAATAAAAATTCTGTACATTGGCTGAATAAAACAAAGTGAACTGCTGGTGAGTGTACTGTTGGGCGCGTGTAACATGCCGGCCATGCCATGTGGTGTTTTGCTTTGAAAGAGTTTCCATTTTTACTTTCTTGTTTCACTTTGTTCTGACTAAACAGACTTAAATGAGTATGACAAAGAAGAACAACTCAGCTTGTAAAACCATCCACTTAGGAAGTCTGGAACAGCCAGTTGCCTTTGTTTGACATAGCAAACAGTGAAATATTATTTTATACACCAGCTACAAGGTGAAAAATGGAATTGAGAATGAGTGGAGAGGCTGTAGGAGAGATCAACTACAAACTGGCTCCATACAAGGAAACTGAAGAGGCTACTAGAGGGTGTAGCAATGTTTACACATTGAAGAATACTGTTCAGTTCATTGTTTTTTAAAAGTGAAGAATGAAACTTGTAGGGCTTATAAAATTGCAACACTACTAAAACTAATACTGCAAACAATAATAATGTCAACAGATTCAATAGCAATAGTACTAGTAAAAACAATAATAATTATTATTGTGTTGTTTTGTTATTGTGAGTTTATTCACTTTTTGCTATTAGCTGAGTAATACAATACACCATGATTTGAATTCATATTACCAACGCCTACTTGATGCTTAGTTTTTATTTCCTCTTAAATGTTCATTTTCATGTTTCTTAAAGGTTCTTGTCAATCATATCACTTCTAATCCCTTTTAATTTAAAGCATCTACATTTTAAACATGTGAAACAAGGTAATTACAAAATCAAAGCAGGAAAAAAAATTAAATGCAGTCTTTCTCTGAGCAATGGCTCAACTCTGACTGGCTATTACCTGCGTCCTGGTGAAGGGTGTCTATCTTTGAACTGTGGGGGCTGACCCATAGACTGGTCACTCTTCATGGACACACAGCTGGGTGCTGGAGACTCTGATGTCCTCATGTGGATTAGACTATAAATGATGAAAGACCTTTCTTCAGAGATTTAAATACAGTATTTAAATTCAATTTAACAGAGTAGTCCAGTAAAAAATGCTGATTAATTTAGTTGCCCCCAACAATGTCACTTGTAATCTGCTGACCACTAGTTTCCACTCATTGTTTACAGGAGCAAGACAGTTAGGAAGACGTCTCCACACAGAAAACTTTGTCACCAAATCCTGCAAATTGATTTTCAGTTCTGTCTCTTATGATACATGTGAGGAAAACATGTAAAAAGGGAAAAGGGAAAAGGGGACTTCCACCAATTCTTTAAAATGTTTTGCATTATTCAGTTGCTGAGATGTAAATAATGTCATTCAGAGTGGTTTGGTGTCATTCAATACTTTAGAGGAACAAGAAGTGTAGAGAACAGTTGATGATTGTAACAGTATAAACATTGAACATTTACATTTATTAATGAGACACTTTTATACAAACACACTTACAGGTCAGGGAAGATATATTTTTTAAACCAGTATAAGATCGTAGCTCACCTCTGGCTTAAGCATGGGGGCCTATCATTGGTGTCCTGATGAGGGGTCTCCATCTCTGAATATTAGTGGAGTATCCACATAAAGATCACTGTTTATGGACACACAGCTGGGTACTAGAGAGTCTCTTCTGCTGAATGGACTACACTCCTAAAACAAAGCACAGAAAACTTTGTCACCAAATCCTGCAAATTGATTTTCAGTTCTTTCTCTTATGATACATGTGAGGAAAAATTTGTAGCTCCTTGAAAAGGGAAAGGGGAATTCCACAAATTCTTTAAAATGTTTTGCATTATTCAGTTGCTGAGATGTAAATAATGTCATTCAGAGTGGTTTGGTGTCATTCAGAGTGGTTTGGTGGACAGATTCATGTCTTCTGAAAAAGGACCATTAGAAACCATTAGGAATAAAACATATTGGTTTTGCTTTCTAATGGGAATCCAATAGAGGCAACTAGTTTCCTGTAGAACACCTTTAGATCCCATCAGAAAACCATCAAATGCATTTAGGTTCAGCCATTTGTCACCTGTTAAACCACTATGACATCAACCCATTAAAAAAAGCCAAAACACATTACAAAACCATCAGGAACCAACAAACACAACATTGTTACTTATTTTATTTACTATCCAAATCCAAAAAAAAAACAAATAAACATTTGATTAAGCCAAACTGGCTAACACAGAATGTTCCAGTAACATTAGAATTTGGTTCCCTGTTGCTTATTTGTGGGGAACCATTTCATAATGTTCTATTTTCGTCAAAAAGTCAGCACGCTTCCCAGAACTATAAAACATAACATTCTAATGGTTTTATCAGAACTAAGGAAGATTAGGTAAAGGTTGCTTCAAGGTTTTACTTTTCATTTATACAAACTAACGTTCAAATAATGTTCCTGAAAGGTTTTCTCATGATCCCATACAAGTGTGTACAGAGAGGTATAGAATGAGCACTAAACAGGGCAAAGTAAGGCAGCGTGAGAGATTTTCACCAAATTAGATTTTTAAGTTTATTTTTCATCACATAAACTAACTTTCCAGTAACGTTTTTATTGGTCCCAGTGATTGCTTTCAGTTTTTGTAATCATCATGTACATGTATGAAAGAAAATTAAATAAGTGTGCACATTAAATATAATCAGACATGCTCTTGGAGGATTTTGTGCAAGATTTTGTGGAGAAATTATCCATCTCCCCAAACCAGACTACTCCCGGATTATCTCTGTTAGATCCTTTACTCAGTGAATTTAGTAAAATTTGTAAGTTAGCTGAAGCTACTGTATTTTTTTATCTAAATTTTCTGTTCCACCTTAAATGGAGCAGCAACACTGTGGTGTCTGTATAGGCGCTAAGCTGCAACAGCTGCACCATTTAAGGTGGAACAGAAAATTCAAATAAGAAGCCAAACTTAGCCTCGGGAGCTCTGTGATGCTAGTTAGCTAACTTAGGCTAGCTTGTTAGTTAACTAGCAAACACAATCACAAATGGTTCCAGTGGTTTCCAAACTGTGGAACACGTACCCCTAAGATTATGACAAATTATGCTGGGGGTATGGAAAAAAATCTGATGTTTGAGGTTTACTTTTCATTTAATCTTCATTTAATTCCATTCATTTCATTCCCAATAACACAGATAGTTCCCTGATACAGACAACACAAACAGCTCTGCAGCTCTGCCCTCCACTCACCAACTGAGAGAACCGCAGTGACACTGAGATGATCTCCGAATACAGAGTTTAATCTAGAGCCAACAACAGATTTCTGGATAGCGGCTGTAGCATATCGCTGCTGTCAGAACAAAACATCATGTGTCCATTTTTGTCATTTTTCAGTTTTTTTGACAACACCTGTTGCCCTTTACACAAAGTTATCATTTTGGAGATACAAGGTTTTGCTCCGACAGCAGCGATGCATGCATGAGTGATGAGCTTTATAACATCCAGCGCATAATAAACCTGCATTCTAATAGGTATCTTGTGCTTTATCCATTATTCATTTATACATTTGTATGAAAGGCTTTGTTGGAGAAGAAGGCATTTCATTCCATTCATTCTGAATTATACTGAATAAATAGCAACATTATTTATTAGCATTTTTCATGTTTAATAATTTAAAGGGGACTGATTTTATAAGAGCGGCACAGTGGCGTAGTGGGTAGCGCTGTCGCCTCACAGCAAGAATGGCCTGGGTTCGATTCCCAGCCGGGCGACCAGGGTCATTTCTGTGTGGAGTTTGCCTGTTCTCCCCGTGTCTGCGTGGGTTTCCTCCGGGTACTCCGGTTTCCTCCCACAGTCCAAAAACATGCAGTCAGGCCAATTGGACATGCTGAAATTGCCCCTAGGTGTGAATGTGTGTGATTGTGTGTGTATGCCTGTCTGTCTGCCCTGCAATAGACTGGCGACCTGTCCAGGGTGTATCCTGCCTTCCGCCCAATGACAGCTGGGATAGGCTCCAGCACCCCACCGCGACCCAGAAGGATAAATGGTTTAGATGATGTATGTATGTATGATTTTATAAGGCTAAATGTCATACATATGCATCATAGTAATACATGCACGTGTATGTTTAAGAAGTGAGAAGGGGTATGTAACCCCACTGTTCTGGTCCCTCAATAAGGCAAGTGCAACAAGAAGTTGGTTCTGAGCTTTTACTGGAGTCACGTCTGCTGGAGCCTGTTCGAGTATACAGCAGCTAGTCAGTATTGTGCTTCTCCACTCTAACAGCATATCTCTTCAGTGGGAAAACCGGACTGCGCTTGCAGTAATTACAATATGAATCTTTACAGCATAGATTCAGCTTTTCAGTATTAAACAGCTCAGCTTATTTGGTTATACAATAAAACAGCAAAAACAAAAGAATACAACACAATGTGGAATACCGCACAAAGCGAAAGAAAATGCAATATGCATACTTGTTTGAGTATAATCAGAGGAAATACAGCAGCTAGTCAGTATTGTGCTTCTCCACTCTAACAGCTATAAGGCACCAAAGAAATCACATCAGTTCAATATAGCATTCAGACCACAATTGGGCGCAGAGCTAGCATAGCTAGCTGTGGTTGAAAAATAGTTACAGCTCATACTTAGCAACCTTTTCAATAACACAAACGAAGCAATACCAATACAAACTAAAAACGTACATACCATGTTACTTCAACGTACTGATTATTGCTTGAAAGTACAACAACAAAACTCATAAATACTTAAATAGAGAGGAGAAGACGTCTGAGCCTACCATATCTCTTCAATGGGAAAACCGGATTGAACCGGATATAGTAGGAAGCTGCTTTATAAAATACGCAATACTCCCTCTGACCAGTGGGTGTCACTGTGTGCCCATAGAAACACACGTTCGATTGTATTCTCTTTTAGAACTAATTTTGGCGAATTCTATTAAAGTAAGTTTGCTTAAAATAAAGTGTTATTTATTTTTCTGTTACAGGTACGCAGCAGGTGGTTTAATGTCTGAAGGAGTACGCATGATAAAAAGTTTGGGAACCACTGTCTTAGATGAATGGGCAGTATGTTAGTGTTTTTAGCTTTGTGGTAACAGAATTAACAATGTAACGTTATAGAAGGACGGTGTTAGAATAGCAAGACCAGGGTGGTTAACCATCAGCTGGTGTCATCAAGTGTGCTAATATGATGTTTTTCACCCCTCACTGTAACGTTATCTGATTTAGCTAAAAAGCCTCTGAACTGAGCTGGCAATCCTGTTCAGATTAGGGTGTCCATTATCACACCATAGCTGGACAGGGATCCAAGCCTGAACAACTTCACTGAAATTGAACGTAGGTGTAATCGCTGCACTATGGGTTGTCTTTTTATCACTTAACCTGCATTGGATCTCCCTTGTATATTAACACTACATGGACTTTGCTCTACCAGTTTCACTGTCGTTCAGTTTACTTTTATTTTTGCTGCAACTTCACATTCTACTGCTTTATTTAAATGAGTTATGAAGGAAGAAATTTCCCCCAAAACACAAACTGCCACCAAATCCAGACTATCTTTACAAATAATGTTTCATGGTGTGATTGTGTTTGTGTTTAATGAACATAAATCAAATAAGGACAAGTGTAGAACATGTAATTTTACCCTGTATATTGTCTACACAGTAGTGTTTTCCAAAGTCAGCCCATAGTTGGGAGTTTTTAAGAGATCGAAACTCAGATGCTGATGTCGACACTGATATTTGCTCTAAGAGCTCATCTAAAAGTAACTAGAAAAAAGGAATAGGAACTAAAAAAAAGGGGAACCAAAAATGATTTCTCAACAGAACAATTTGTTCATGAACCAAAAATCATTAGCTGGACACTATCCAAAGTCAACCAACAAGTATGTTCTGCGTTTTATATGTAATGTTGATGACAGTAAAATAGTAATAAACATGAGAAGATAACTTTTCTTTGGAGACCATGTTGCCTTGTAACACCCTGCATGTATCTGTCCACCATGAATGGACAATAAACTCTTGAGATTTCTGGTTCCTATCAGTTCTGACTCCCTGCATTGCATGTGAAACAACTCTGAATGACTTTGTTTATATTTTAATTATTTCGAGATGGAATTCCCGTTTAATATTTGTATTTGTATTTATTGTAATACATATATATATATATATATATATATATATATATATATATATATATATTAATCCTCTGCGCAGCGCTGTCTGTTCTTACACATGTTAAAGACAAATATTATCTATGCTTTTTACTAGAATAAGTCAGAATGTATTGATTATGAATGCAGCATTTCAGTTTCAGTTCAACTCTGATTCATTTCTTCATCACAGAAAACAGAAAAACTGAGCATTACTGAGAAAAAACTCACCAGAAAATGTAAATATCAGCTTTGAATAGTTCACTGTATCAAAAAGAAGCGAACAGTTCCGTCTGTTCAGAATTCCTGGTTTGTAGAAACTCCTGAATGAATGTAAATGTTCCTAAATATAAACTTAGAGAAAAAAAATCTGTTTAATCCTTTAATCCGCAGCTTCTCTTCTAACTTTCTCCTGGTCCTGAAATGGCAGCTCAGCTGCACTGAACTCGTTCTCTTTCGGTGTTTAAGGAGGAGCTGAGAGGAGGAGGAGAGTCTCTGTGTAGCTCCCACTGAATTCATTCATGCAGTGAATCTGGTTAGAGCAGCAGATAAACTACAAACCCCATATAGTTACCAATTCATACTGAGACATCTTGCGCAGCTCCGAGGCTGAAGTAGATTCTTATTCACCAACTTCTTATGAGAATTTTCCATTCCACCTTAAATGGTGCTGGAGTCACATTCTGGCACCTGTAGATTCTCAGATAACACTGAGAATCGCTCTGTATAGAATCTGTATGTGTAAGGCTGAATAAAAGGATTAAACAGAAACACAGAGACTGTCTGAGTTGTGTTTTTAGGGAATCTATTTCAGAAAGTCTGAACCATTTTAGAACTTAACATTGTGTAAGAGAAATGCATAAATAAGAGAAAAGTAAAGGGTGAATTTGTGCTTTTTCTGCTACCGTCTTACCTTCCAATCATTAAACGTCTCAAAATGCTGAACTGAATCTTTTAAAAGTGCTGTGACTTTATCTCATGAATTTTCAGTGTCTCAAAATCTGTCGGCATATTTAAAGCACAAAATATCAGATTATCAAACTCCTGAAGAGGAAGAAATTTTACTGAAGAATTATTCAGTTGTGACTCTGTGAACAAAACAATTTGAGACTGTAAGGTGTGTAAATTGTGTTTTTGCTTCTTTACTATAACATTATTTTCAGATTGTCAGAAAGTCTCACACACCTCACACTCACATTGAACACAGCGTAACAGAGAAAAACATACTGTAGGATTTTGATATTCTGTGATATTGTCCTTCAGATGTGACTGTAAGATATATTTGAGACATTTTGAAGATCAGGAGATAAAGTCATAGCAAATAAGCAGAAAGTAGATTAATAAACAGATCATTAACGAGACTAATTCAAAAGTACTAGTTAGTTCTTATGTAATTATTTATATGAGTAAACACACTAATCAGTTCATTAACAGTGAAAAATCATTGGTTATTACACAATTAATGAGTAAATAAGCTCTGAACTAATAAACTAAACTATCAGTTAACAGTGAACTCAGTTACTAATTACTAAGTACATAATCAGTTACTAAGAATTAACTAATGCTTAATCAACACTTAATTAATATATAAATAACAAGCAGTTAATAACTTATTAAAAACATAATTAATCTTTTATTTTTGACCCTTAATGTAAAGTGTTACTGAGTAAATATGTAGTCCTAGTCCTGTGCTGTGTAAATATATAATACTGGGTTTTATACTAAGCTGAGCAGCAACATTAACAGCAGCTTTATTTAAACACCATCTGTCATAATTAAAAGGAAATTAAAATAAAAAAAAATCCAAATTCCACAACAAACATGCACTGAAACAGAAACTGAAGAGTCAGTGCTGTAAACCCTGATAAGCTCAACTCTGACACTCAAACCTCAGATTCAGTTCTGATTCTCAGTCTTTCACCTGTTTGTGATTCATTACTTTCTAAAAAACCTGCAGCTTTTAAGTTTAAAAGACGAAGCTTAAGTCGTCTCAGACTATAGTTCTGTGATCACTTGAGCTTTTAACATCTCTACTATGTACCTGATCAGATCTGATTAAGTTTATAGTGCTGACTATATAAACATTTTCCTCACTTATGAAGTTGTATGTGTTTTATTGATTGTTGTAACAGTTAATTTCTTCACTGTTTCACATTCTGCTAAAGTGACTCTGCTTGTTAATGAAGCTGTGATGATCACAAGTTCAGATGTGGGAGTTTTGAGAGTGACGTTCTCTCACAGCAGCCTTTAAAACACTCAGAGCTGCTAGTTCAGTAACTTATTAACAAACTGACATAAACAGAGACTCAAAGCTCCATCATGATTAGAATAATTAGCATGTTAAATGTCAAACACATCAGAGCTACAGAGAGGAGGATTTGCATGCTTAAGTGGTTCTCTGTTCTCCATCAAAGAACCACTTAAGCATGCAAATCCTCCTCTCTTTTTTTACATGGTATCTGAAAATGGTTCTTCACACCACTTATTAGCACCAGAAAAGGTTCTGTAACTGTTCCAATTTGACAATATAATGATAATAACCCACAAAGGTGCAATAACAATAGAAAACTTTTTTTGTTCCACACTCTCAAAAATGATGGTCCTTAGAAAAAAAGGTTCTATATAGAACCATGAACACTCAATGAACCATCTGCCTGTTTAAATGGTTCTTTTCATGGTCAAATTGTTCTTTAGATAGAGAATTTGTTGTACATTATTCTATATAGAACCTTTTTGAAAGTGTTCTTCATAGCACCAAAAAGGTTCTGCTATTGTTCCAAGTTTGGCATTGTAATGAAAGTAACCCACAAAACACAATAGCAATAGAGACCCTTTTTGTTCTATACTTAAAAAAAATGAAAGTTCTCGAAGGGGTCTTAGTAAAGAAAATAGTTCTATATGGAACCATGAACATTCATACAACCATTTGCATGCTTAAATGGTTCTTTGCATTGATAAATCATTCTTCAGATTGATTGAGACTTCACTGTACATGGTTCTATATAAAACATTTCTGAAAAATGTTCTATATAGTACCATAAAGGGTTTCTACATTGTCAAGCCTGTAACAATAGAAGAACGCTACAGAACGCAACCTCACAACAAAAACTCCATGAAACTCTGTGAAAGACTGACGTTGAGTCTGTGCTGCTCTCTGTTTTAGAGATCTGTGAGCTTTAGAGAGCTGCTTGTCCAAATATTAAGCCTCCACTGTTATTTTACAGTGGAATGAACTGTAATGAAAGACATGAAAACTGATGGTGAGACACTTTTTTTGATTGTCTTTCTATGAATCAGAGTTTGAGAGTGTGACTTACTGTGAACTACAAAAATGAACTAAAGCTCTCACACATATTACTGATTATGATTATTTCTGCTGCTTCTTTTTATAAATAACTGTGAATGTTGAATTTTCAAACTGATATAAAAACAACAGAAATCATGAATGCAATTTAACGTTCATATGACATATGAGTGACATACATGCTCACAAAATGGAGTCAGATTCTTCAGGTTGAGTCAGAATTCAGAACAACACCTGCTGGTCGTCCAAACCACATCAGCAAGTCTGCACTACCTTAAAGGGACCCTGACTGTTAGACTCGTATGCCTTAAAATACTGTACATGTCCAACACTGTTAAAATATGATGTACAAACAAAATGGAAAGTTTTGTTTATTATAAAAAATGAAAAATTTGCAAAATCCCTCTACTAGTTGGTCACCATGGTCGCACTGTGATGATGTCATATGGCTGCAGTGGAATCAGTCCTACAGAAGATAAGACAAAGTTCCTCTCCTGGGTGATGATGTCACATTCTAGCTAAAGCTAGAAAGGCTGAACGATATATTCAATTTAAATGAGATCTCTGACTCGCTGTTCTTCACTGAATGAAGGAGAGAGAGAGTGAACATTTGATGCAGCAACAAAAACAGCAACTTAAAAGTAAAAGATTTAGTCTATTTTTAATAATGAAAAAAATACAACATATTTTAATATTATTGGACATGAACACTATGTTGAGACAGACATGTATTAACAGTCTGGGTTCCCTTTAATGAAGAGCTGGATGTAGTTTGAACAGGATGAGAGTTGTTTTGGGGATGTATTTATAGAAAAGATTTGGGTGACTATTGACTTCTAGTGTTTGTTAGCAACATTAGCCTTAAAGCTCCAGAACTAAACTAAAGAAGCAACATTTGAACACCAGACACGTCTCAGCTGATCAACTACGTCTGGGATAAGAAATGGATTTTGTTTCACCAAATTATGTCTCTAATTGTGTAGTTCTTTCAAAATTAACAAACACACACACACACACACACACACACACACACACACACACACACTGTTTCCTCATTTCCCAATCTAAATCAGAGAGAGGTGTTTGTGTGTAATGGAGAGGCAGCAGTGATAGACTAATAATCAGATGAGCTTTATTAGAGCTCAGAGAGGAACAGCAGAGATCTTCAGAGTACAAGAGAGACACTGATGATCATGTTCTCCCTGTATGAGCTCAGAACTGATAACAGTCAGTCCGTCCCATCAGCCCAATCATCCTTTACAGGACCTCCTTCCACTCAATAAGGGTAAGCAAACAAATCAACTACTGTGGAAAATATCCCAGCTGTTGTTTGGGCATTCAAGAACTAACAGACTAAGAAAATCCATTATCCCATGTGGAATCAGGCTGTTTAATTCATGATAACGTAGTGTACATTTATTTATGTATTTATATTTATACATTTATTTTAAACATTTTGTAATATGTCTTGTAGGTAAAAAATAATTTCAGAATATTTCAAAGGAAAATAAAACAAAAAATCAAAAACTTTTCAACTCTTTTCAATTTCAGTTTTCCAATTTCCAATTTTCAAAGTGCAAATAGTTACATTAGTGAGTTAGAGAATTGTAACTGTACACATCCTGTACTGATCATGAAGCTGAATGAAAAAATCACTGAATTCTGAATAAAATGTATAAAATCTGCAATACAGAATCTTCTAGTCTGTCACTCCTAAACAACAGATGTGTGAACATGAAGAGTGAAGTGTGGTGGAGTATCTGTGGTGTTAGAACAGTACATATTAAAACATCTATATCTGTGTAATATTGTGATATAAAAAGAAAGAATCTTTGGTGAATTTACTGTATGATGATCATCACTGAACATAAAATATCAAGCAGCACTAAATCAGCACTTGCTCGTGAGTTAAATGTTGTGGGAATGTATTTTGTTCACACCTCTAGAGACAAACAGCCAAAACAGACTCAGATGACCAGTTTAAAGGGTCACTCTGATTAACACAGGAGCCACACTGCATGCAGCGCGGTCACTGCTTCTGATTTAAAATGCGCTTCACTTCATATAACTGTGCTCTCATGGAAACAGAAGAAAAACAAAGACGTGAAT